CTGTCCTTGCTTGAGGTATAACAAAATTAAAATTATCAATATTTCTAAGATTATAACCATGATTTGTTGGCATAAAAGGTGTGACCATTTCTTGTAAATAAGGAGGGGATATACCATAAACAGTTTTATAGAACAACAAGAGTTTTTGTCTTTCCCTTCTCTTATTTAATGGTTCCCAACCTAATTCTAAATACAAAGCATTTCTAGATGAATTTTTCCTGAGTCCTGTTATTATTCGGGCAGCTTCTACTTGAATATTTTCTAAAAGATTTGAGAGGATTGATGAAATTGATTCCCTGTAAAATTAAACCTAACCCCAATTTTAAATGGATTCGATGTGATGACCCTAATAAAATAGTTTCTAAGATTTAGGTTATGAGTAGATCAAAAAAAAAAAAAAAAAAAAAAACATGTACGCATGTCTATCACTACACATGTAGAAACCAGAAATATATAAGCAAAATACATAAATGAGAAACAGATTAAATATTTAAAATCTATTTTATATCTGAATTAAAAGGAAACTGTACTAACCTTATTACTGGAAATATTATTACCTATTTATTGGAGTACAGCTGTACATGTATATCAAACTAACCTTATGTGAAAACCGGAGAAAACGAACGTTGTAGATCCAACTCGGATAAGTGTACATGTATGACCACACAAAGGTGAACATTTTATTGAACTAGTACCCCCTGAATTTCTTTGGGTAGGATCATGTGCTTGAGAGAAAGCATTCCCTAATGCCTGTTGAAATTTGCCTCAAGCCCTATATATATTGATTGGCGCAATGGGACATTGTGTTGAAATTTAGAATAAAAACAAGGGCCTACCAATTGGTACAAGACGGTAAAATATGACCTACTTATTAATTAAATTTACTAACACGGTCAGTATAACAGCAATAGAATTTACAAAATCTAAACTTTAAAGAAGGTTTATCTGTGTTTAACAAACTAAGTTACAATTCTGGTTAAAGCTATACTGATTAGCAAACATGGCACAATACGATTGATTTAGAAATAATGTTTTAATCTATATACCATATAATGGTAGCTAGCTTAGGACACCCTACCAGTAATATTCAGAGTTGAGAAATATGCCACACTTCCAGCAAGAAAGTAAATAATGTTCAAATTAGAATTCGTACGAGAAATATGTCCAATCAATGACCAGTTAGAGCCATAAAACTCAAGCATTTTTGTGATTCCAAGGTTTTGCCAAAAATTAATTCCAGTAAACAATTGTAGACTTAGTGAACACTAGTGATCTTTCATGCTTCGCTGATTAAACAATATATTCTTGTAGTATATGAAATTAAAAGTTGTAAATATTCGCACAAAGCATAATAAATTGTTATGTACATGTATGTGTTAAGTTTCATTTTCGTAACAATTGAAAAATAATTAGAACATGTAAAAGACTACAATGAAATAGGTGCAGATCTAGTGATTTTGTAGTGTGTGTACATTTTGAATGTTTAATGTATGTAAAGGATGGAATCAATTATACATATGCAACCATGCAGCTACATGCAGGTCATAATCAATAGTTTTATTTTTTTTATTTGATCATGCAGTTTGTATAATGTAAATTAAGAGCTATAATTCAAATATAAGGGCATTGGGCCATTTTTTTTGTGTATGTTTAAATTAGTGTATGTAAATTAAGGGCTGTATGAATTCAAATACACCAAAGGCAATTGGCAGCCAGCAATGAGCATGCCCCAAATCAAATGATCAAACATCAACAACATATATTCACGCCATTCAACATATTGTAGCTACAGGTCATGATTAACATGATTAACAGTTGATTTTTTTTTTTGTAAAAATGCATTGTGTATGTTTAGTGTATGTAAATTAAGGGCTGTATGAATTCAAATACAACATGGGCAATGGGCAGCCAACAACGAGCATGCCCCAAATCAAATATTCAAACAACACATATTCACAACATTCAACATAATTTATAAGCTACACATACAATAATGTAGCTGGGAGTTCATGATAATAATTTTTTTTAATTTTTTTAATGCATTGTGCATGTTTAATGTATGTAAATTAAAGGCTGTATTCAAATACAACAAGGGCAATGGGCAGCCAACAACGAGCATGCCCCAAATCAAATATTCAAACAACATCAAACAACACATATTCACAATATTCAACATAATTCTTAAGCTACACATCAACAATGTAGCTGGGAGTTCATGATCAGATTTTTTTTTAATGCAGTGTGCATGTTTCGTGATGCATGATGCAAGATGAAAGTGTAAAATGCTCTGTGTGAGTAGTTATGTTCCCCAAACGAAGTTGGGGAACATATTGTTTTTACTCTGTTTCTTATTATGTTCCCCAAACGAAGTTGGGGAACATATTGTTTTTACTCTGTTTCTTATTAAGGTCTTCCGTCTCCAACGGAAGACCTTATTGTTTTCGTTCGGTTTCTTTTTCCCTATTATTAAGGTCTTCCGTCTTCAGCGGAAGACCTTCTTGTTATTCTTAGGTTTCTTTTCCACTATTTTTATTATTATCGTTTTTTTTTCTTACCGATTTTGTGCACGCGATTTCTCGGAAACGGCTCGCTCGATTTTCATGAAACTTTCAGGACTGATAGAACATCAAACAAAGCTGATATAAAATTTTTTGTTTTGATGACGTCACTTCCGGTTTTGAGATTTTCGCGATTTAGTGATTTTTGTAGGGTCAGTTTGTCCGCGAGTTTTCTCAAAAACGGCTTAGGATAGAAACTTGAGTTTTTCAGCAATGATAGAGCAATATATGTAGATGTGACATACGTATTCCATTTTCACCGGAAGTGCTTTACGCCGACGCTCGCTATGGTCCGAAAAAGGGCATGTCGAGAATTTTACAATTTCTAACACTTTTTCTTTGATATCTTTTCACATACAAATATTTCGTTAAGACATATAGAACAAAAAAAGTGTAGAATTACTTGCTCTTTTAAATGATATCTTGAAAAAAGGGCTGACCCCTATACTTAAGGGCCGAGAGGGGCCGAAAGTTTTTCCTTTATATCTCAAAAAGTATTGAGAATTTATAATACGTCAAAGAAGCAAAGTTGTTCAAAATGTCAAGCTAAATCTACTGGGGTCGTCAAAATGCGTCCGGCGACGTCACTTCCGGCAAAACCGGAAGTAGTCGGAAAACGCGTATTTTTGCCATTCTTGAAAAGTTTTTGGGTAACATATGTCACCGGAGGCCTAAAACTTAATTTTCCGTCCGTCGTCGTCACTTCCGGTCAAACCGGAAGTAGCAAAAATTGTTTATTTTTTGCATTAAGTAACGTAGCTTTAGATGATTCAAACCATTTTTAGGCGTTATTTCTCAGTTTTGTTAAAAATGAAAGCTACTTCCGGTCAAACAGGACGGAAGACCTACTCGTTGCTTTGCAACGAGCTTTTCTCTAGTTATTATTATTTTTCTTACCGATTTTGTGCACGCGATTTCTCGGAAACGGCTCGCCCGATTTTCACCAAACTTTCAGATCTGATAGATATTCATCTGAACCTTGTCGGAAATTTTCGTCGTTGATGACGTCACTTCCGGCCGTGAGATATGGACGATTTTCTGATTTTTGGAGGGTCGGCTTGTCCTGAGATCTCCTCCTAAACGACTGAAGATATCGACTTGAGATTTTTAGTGAAGGTAGAGAAAGGATAGTAGATGTGACATTTTGCATATAGAGCTTTCCAGGTAAAAAGGCATTGACGCTCGCCTGGGCTCGAAAAATAGGCTCATACGCATCTCGCAAAAATTGATACTATTTCTTTTATATCTTTTTACTGGTTAATATTTTGTTAAGATATATATAATAAAAAATGTGCAATATAGTAAGACCTTTCATTTGATATGAAGAAAATGGGGTTAGCCCTTCAAAAGGGGCAAGGGGCCAAAAGTCTCTCAAGATTTGAAACTTTTTAACTCTTGTTAATAATGATCAATATTATTGTGAAACATTACTGAATCAAGGAAATGGGGCTAATCCTTCAGAATAGGGGCTAAGAGGGGCCAAAAACTCACGATTTGCAAAAATATATAATAAGACTTTGATCATATGTTACATAATAAGGGGTCACAGGGGGCTAGGATGCTAAATCTTTGACACTTTATATCTCGATAAGCGTTAATATTTTAATAAGCATTATTGAACAAAAGATGGTTAGAATAATGTTCTCAACAATATGCATACTTTTAATTTTTTCATTTTTCATTTTTTCCTATCGACACTTCCGTCGTAAACCTGAAGTAGTTTAAATATAGCGATTTTTTCATTTTCTAATGAATTAAATTGTTCATTACAAAGATTTAAAGAATGCGTAGCGTCTTAACATTTCTACCGGAAGTACGGTTCGTTCAAACCGGCAGTTGTCTATAAAAATGAGTATTTTCCATCGAAAACTTCAGAGATGATTACTCCATGCTTGATGTGGAGTTGAAAGTCGTTTTGAGCACATACGGTGGCACCGGAAGTGAATAATAAGAACCGGAAATTGATTGGAATTGAAAGATCCTACATTTTTTGTGTTTCTAACACATTTGAAGATTCTTGTGCCTTTTTGACATTTTTATCCTATCAATGGATTTTTCTTATTCCATCAGATATCGGACAGAAGACCTACTCGTTGCTAGCAACGAGATCGCATCTAGTTTGTTTTTCTTTTTCCTTTTTTCTTATGACTTTTTAACTTTTTTCCTTGTCCTGAGGAAGAAACATGGCGTCCCGAAAATTTAACAATTTTTATTGTTCGTGTCATTGGTCATTTTTAGTGCTTTGTATAAATTTCCATGCGTGACCTTTTATCTATTTAAAGTTATCGAAAAAAATCTGTTTTCTTATATATATATAAATAGGACTCTGACGTTCATATCTATTTTTTAAATGGATGACATTTAATACAGTCAGGGCATTTGTATATATTTCGGAAATTATGCTACAGTTGTTCTTTTATTATTATTATATCGTTAGATGAGCTACAAGTCAGTCTTACCGATCCAGTAGTTTTTAGAGGGTAGCCCAAATCCATGTTTATAATCACGCCAAGTCCGGTAAAAATCTGTAGAGCCGTCCTGTCTTCTTTGTATTGCCTTTAATACATTAATTTCGTTTCTTTCATAAGATACATTTATCTAGTTATTTCAATTTACTGAGTATTTGATATCAACAAGTACAAACTAGTATTTATACTTTTAAAAGAACAGTTCTCTAAAATCATAAAATTTATTTCTTGTCGTTACGTGCCATTTGATTGGATAAAAAAATAGTTTATATCGTAAAACCTACGTCACACTGAATTACGTCTTAAGTGTATGAATTCGTTCGACGTTACATTGAATATTTATGCATTTTGAAAGCATTTTTGAAAAAAAAAGGTCTTTACATTTGATGAAATGAAATTGAATAACACGGAATAACTTTTATAGCTATCCAAGATAACTCTATAATCTTGGTTGGAACAGTTTTCGATTTTTTTTATTAAGCGCTTCGCAGTTGTACTCACCGTCCACCCTCCTCCATCAGTACTCATGTCACAGTAAACAGACTTGAACTCAGAGCCTACGGATATTCTGTATACTCCATCCTTTCCCCTTAATCTTGGAAATTTCCGTAACATATCCCAACAATTTTTTGAAACTCCTGTGAAAAGAGGATTTGATTTACAAATATAAATCATAAAGTATACACTTCAATGCTATTGAGACTGTACTTATTTATCTTTGGACTGTTTCACGTTCAATGGAGAGGTCCAACTGGCATTTCCGAATGTTTTCCATCCTTTTACTTTTTGAAGAAATTTTGTTAAAACCAAATATTCGTTGTATAGACACTTTGTAAACTTACCCGAGAACCAGAAGATGGTCTCTTTTGAACTGATATCGACTGAATCGACTATTGTTAAAACATTTCTATATGTTCTCTCTTTGATATCGACTGAATCGACTATTGTTAAAACATTTCTATATGTTCTCTCTATGATATCGATTGAATCGACTATTGTTAAAACATTCCTATCTGTTCTCCCCATGATATTGACTGAATCGACTCTTGTTAAAACATTTCTATCTGTTTTCTTCATGATATCGACTGAATCGACTATTGTTAAAACATTTCTATCTGTTCTCCCCATGATATCGACTGAATCGACTATTGTTAAAACATTTCTATCTGTTCTCCCCATGATATCGACTGAATCGACTATTGTTAAAACATTTCTATCTGATCTCTCCATGATATCGACTGAATCGACTATTGTTAAAGCATTTCTATCTGTTCTCTTCATGATATCGACTGAATCGACTATTGTTAAAACATTCCTATCTGTTCTCTCCACATTCTTAATTAACTTAATTACGGCAATTCAGATTAACGTCAAATGGTGAATTTTGAGTAATCTTAGTTCTAAGGTCATTATGATGACAGTTTTACCAAATATAACATTTTATTGGATAGTATTTTAGCTGACGTGTTCATTACCAATTGTTTAGCCTTTGTTTTTATATTGAGTTTGACTACGGAATGTTCTGTGTACCTGATTAAGATATACGGATCTCCGAGAGGTTCTCACCTCTGGTATATATATTTCCGGGGATTCTTGATTTATTCCCTGTTCACAGAAGTGTATTGTTGGTAGATTTATTAAGAAGGATCACTGTTCTTTTTCATCACTATTTACCCCTTTCATAGCAAAGATTTTAAGTATAGATATATCAATGAACGAGCTTTTTGGACAGCAGGCAAAGGCAAAGGCGGATCCAGGACCGGTGCGTCCCCCCCCTCCCCCCCCCCCACCGCGCTTAAAAATTTGTATATAAAACTTATAGATCAATTATCCTACAATCAAGAAAAACACATATCTTATTTGTAAGAACTTGTCACCTTCCGGGGGCTTCGCTCTCGCACCACCAAAAGGACCTTCCTTTAGACCGACATGGTTGAAATGCGTAATTGCTATGAAAGGGGTTAATTGTTTCTCCGACTTTATTTGATTCTCAAGAGTATGATCTAAGTACTATCAATTTTAAACCAATGCAAGCTGCCAACAGATAGATTGCTATTACAAATTTTGATAATACAGGGCCTTAAACAACCTAGTTCAAATTCAGCACTAAGGCTTTTCTTTAGCATCCAACGCTTATTCCACGTTTTACAATAAACTTAATTATCATGAATAAATATGGAGTTACATCAAATATATCTACCTTAAAAATTTTATGTAGGTCGATTGTTGAAAAACTTTGAGATAACTTTTTTATGTAGTTGTCTAGGGTATATAAGTTTAGAGCACGTAGCGACAGGCTGAATAGTATCTAATTCTATACAAAAGATTAACTCATTTTCTCTGTATGTGACAAATAAATGACATTTTTTGTGTCGAAGAAAGCTATTCATCCTCAGATGATTTAAAAGGAATGCATCAAATAGAAATATGTTTATTGTTATTCTGGATTTATTGCAGAGAAGTAAATCGTCAATACCTCACTAATCAATGAAAAAGAAGAACAATCCTGATTCGTTCTAAATTTTAAAATACATGTATTATTAGGGACAGATGATACCAAAAAAAATATGGATGCCTGTATTGGAATATTTCTTTTTTGGCCTAATTTCATTGAAAATCATGCAAATAAGAAATTTCTAGAATATAAAGAAATTGTAAACCTTCTATGATGTTCAAAATTCTCCCTCTCTGAAACCATCATTACAGAAGCCCGTTGAGGCCAGTTCAGAGAAAAAAATATTTTTCATTGCGTTTAAACGCAATAACTATTGCGTTTAAACGCAATAATATTTTTGCGTAAAATCGCAATAATTTTTGCGTTTACATGCAATAATATTGCGATTAAACGCAATAATTATTGCGTTAAATCGCAATATTTTTTGCGTTTAAACGCAATATTTTTTTGCGTTCAGTCGCAATAATTATTTGCATTTAAACGCAATAATCATTTGCATTTAAATGCAATACTCTTTGCATTTTATCGCAATAATCCTTCCTTTTAAGGATTTATTTTGAATTTAAACACAATGATTCAGTGCTGTAGTTTGAAATCAAACATCGGCTAGCCAAAAATTATTATGAATACTACGGTCTAATTCTTTAAAGAAGAACCGTTTGCTTCTGTGTCTTGTTGCTAAATGTTGCAGTTTGTGATATTTAAAGTTTAACAATGGCATCCTAAGTAAACAGCCACCAGCGTTTCTTAAACCTATAAGAATCCAACACTTTTAACGCATTAATCAATTCCGCAGGTATCACAGCAAAAAAAGAATGTTTCAGTGGTACATGTATTATAGCCTTATCAGTTTGGTAGTACACATCGATCAATCTGTTTTCATTTGATTTATTTTTGATTTTATATGATTCCATCTCCTAAATTCTCGTGTTCTCGTGTTTACTGTATGTGATCAAAGGAAAGGTTGCGAATATACATATACATAATATGTAGATCTACCTATACATATACATAAGTATTTCATCAGTCGTTTCCTAAAGCCCTTTATAAAGGTACATGGTGTAAGCTTTGTGACCGCAACGTGGAGTGATAGTTTTTCCATCATTATTTCTTCTCTAGTCTTTTATTTCGAAAGTCCTTTAAAATTGTTTGCATAGTTTTGTATGCTAAAGCTTTGTTTCTTTCTAAGGTTGCCTTTGTTTTTACAGACCGACACTACTTTTTCCTCTTTGAATCTCAAACATGATTAACCATTCAGAAAATGCTTGTTCAGAAGAATCTGATTCTATAAAGCTTAACAAAACATAATTCTCCTCATAGATTAATGTACAAAAGAAGAAAGACACAAATATCAGCGTGGATCCATTGCACTCTTCAAAGATCAATAGAAATGCTTGCTTTTAAATACAAAGATTATTGCGTTTAAATACAAAAAAAATTGCTATTAAACGCAATATTACTGGTATTAAACGCAATAATTATTGCGTTTAAACACTAAAATTATTGCGATTATAGTCAAAAAGTATTGCGATTAAACGCAATAATTATTGCAATTAAACGCAAAAATATTATTGCGTTTAATCGCAATATTATTGCGTTTATTATTGCAAAAGATCTCATTTAATCACAATTGTTTGCGATTAAACGCAAAGTGTTTAGCGATTAAACGCAATAATTATTGCCTTTAAGGGTCCTCCACACCATGTGACCTGTGACGTATATAGAGAAAAAATACTTTTACTTCCGCTTTTATTGAGAAAATACATGAACGAATTGTCCTACCACCGTTTGTAAACAATGAACACATGGCATGATGATCACGGAGTGACCGATGAAAAGGATTGCGGTATTTTTTTTTAAATAAAAGAACAACAGACGTCTTGGTTAAGTTAATAAAGATAATAATTCCTACACAACAGGTACCGGTGGGTATGACGAGAAACGCAGGGACGTAGCATCCGGGGGGGCCAGGGGGGGCCTGGCCCCCCCCCACTTTTTTCCCCAACATAACCTTTACTATAGTAAATGGTCCCCCCCACTTTATAACCATAGTATAGTGATAGCAATGATTGTGAGGAAAGAATTGGAAGTGATAGTAATTTGGCTTTGAAAAAGTTGGCCACCCCCCCCCCCCCCCCCCACCCCCCCCCTCCCCCCACGAAATAGGATTTTCGACTTTGGGGAATTTTTTCATTTTTTTTTTTTTTTTTTTTTTTTTTTGCTTGTCAACTTTTTTAGGTAAGTAAAAAAAAAATTTCTCAGGTTGGCCCCCCCCACTTTCAAAAACGATGCTACGTGCCTGAAACGCATAGTTATTTACACTTTCTGGTTAATCAACCGAGTCTTTTTTTTTGATAGTTGAACATGTTGAAATTTCGGCACACTCATTTGTACGTTTCAATAATACATTATCTCATCGTGTGTTTATAAATATTGATAAAATAGTGTGCGTTTCTAGTTTTCCTCTTTTATTTGTGTCCAGTTCAGTGGCTAGTATATTACTAAATATAGTATGGTGACGTAAGCGGAGACTTGCCAAAGTTTTTGAGTCCCGAGCAACAGGAAAGATAACTCCAAAAAGGAACTTTGATACCAGAGATTTTTAAAAAAAATTTTCTACATCAGTGCATTTAATTTTAATTCAATTTTTTGATGTAATTTAAGCATTAATGTTTCTTCTCTACAAAAGCAGTCCTTGTTGATTTTTCTCGTGATGTATTTCAGAGAAAATGAGTTTTATGTACTTTTTATAAATAAAATAAATTTCTGTAAAAAATGTGTTGATCAATAAAATTAAGTTTTTATGATTATTATGTGAGCTTAAAAATATACGAACGGGTAAGACAAATTTTTTGTGCTAGGTATGAAAACGCCTTGGGAAAAATTTCTTGAAACTTGTGAAATAATTATTTTTAAAAATCAGTATAAATTACATTTTAATCCCTAGACAGTTTTTAAAGGTTGATATGCTTGTTAAAAGTAATGCTCAATAATATGAGAACATAAGCTGTGGGTGTGTGGAGGACCCTTAAACGCAATAAAAATATTTCTTTCCCAGGACTGGCCTCAACGGGCTTCTGTACATCCTTATTAATCTATACAAATATTTTTCACTTCGAATTCCATTTTAGTGAAAATTTGAAAAAAAAAATTAAAAAACTACACGGTTAATCTTGTTAATTTTATTGGTTTAAACATGACTCAAGTTGTTATTTTCAATTTTTTTGTGTTTGTATCATCTGTCCTTAAAGGTATTATTGTCCCCCGCTTGAAAAGTGGGGGGTATTAATTTGGGTTTGTCCGTCCGTCCGTCCGTCCGTCCGTCTTTCTGTCTGTCTGTAACGCTTTCGTTTCCACACGATATTTCGAGAACCCTTTGAGCTTTTGCAATGAAATTTAGCATAGCAACTCCCTATGGACTAAAGAAGACCCCTATTGATTTTGAGGTCAAAAGGTCAAAGGTCAAGGTCATAAATAAGCAAATTCTGTCTGTTAAAACACTTTCGTTTCCACACGATATCTCTAGAACCATTTGAGCTATTGCAATGAAATTTTACATAACAACTCCCTGTGGCCTAATAAAGACTCCTATTGATTTTGAGGTCAAAAGGTCAAAGTTCAAGGTCGTAAATTTATATATTCTGTCTGCGTGTAACACTATCATTTCCGGGCGATATTTCAAGAAGATTTTGAGCTTATGCAATGTAATTTTATACCAAAACTCCCTAGGACGTCTCTCGCCCCTCTCAAAGTGCCCCGCCCCGTTTGTTTTATTAGTATTTATAGTATTACATGTCGCTATTTTTACGCAGGGGCATGAGGAGAGTTATTGCGTTTAAAACAGGTTCTCGGCGGACTTTATGTTCTTATTACATCTATTAGAACTGTTCAATAAAGGCTAAATAAATCAAACACCATGGATTGTGTAAAATTTTGAGAATATCGAACATGAAAACATGAATATATACATGTATGTGACTTCAATTCTGCATATACTCCACACCGTGTAACGCAATTCCGTGGTCTAGTGGTTATGTCTCTCGCTTCAAATGTGAGAGGTCCCGGGATCGAATCTCGGTCAATCCTTTTTTTTTTTTCCTTTTTTTTTTAAATACTTTTTTTTTTACTAATGATAGTATTCAGCATGTGAAATGAAAAATTTATGAGATTATAAAATCATCATTACAGTGTGATAAATATTCCATATAAGAAATCTTCTATACACATAATACAGAATAAGCAATCAAATCTTTATAAGCATATTGACATACATGTATTTTATTTGCTTCAGTATACATATAATCATATATACATTTAATAATGCTACAAATTCAGTCAGGGGGAGCCGACTTTTTCCCTAAGCGGGGGACACGAATTCTCTGAATTAGCTTGTTTGATAAAAGAAATAAGACACAGTAAGTAATCGATTAATTTACTGAATAAAGGTTTCGTGCCATTTGACAGATTTTCAATCATATGGAGACGTCCAAATGTACCGATGAAGGGTTCAAATTTAGACCTTTACTCGACACTCAGTGCCATTGACCAGTGAGGTATCTTTACCATGTCAATTTCACCTTGACATGGAGCTTCAGGTTTTTAGGTGTCATCCGGAGGACCCCCAATATTTCACGTCAAAGTCCAAACGCTTGGATAAGGACAGTTGTTATCTATTTTTTATTTCTCAACATAGGAATGTCGCTATTTATTCCTGAATCTTAACCAACTCAAATCAAACATTATACAATTATGGACTCTAATGGTGTTGAATATGTTTTGTTATTCACCAGAAAAATACTCATATTCTTATCTTAAAGAGATTTTTACCGGTAAATTCCGGGAGAGGGAGGGGTTATTTTGTACATGTGTGAATGCCTTGGGGGCTAGCAGTCTACCCGTGGTCATCTGTCTCCTAATCCCTATACACAGGAAGTGATTTAATACATAGTGAGATACCCCAGGTGTCAAACTTTACATGTATTGGGGATTTTAAGACAATTTTGAATTAGAAGTAAAAGTTGCTTGTAAATTCTTTTCTGAATATCAAAGGAAAATATTAGAAGGATATTGAGATAACGAACAGTATTCAATCTCAAAGTCCATAAAACATTACAAAATAAGAGCAGACCAAACACGGACCCCCGAAACAACATATGATTGGGAACATTTATAAATATTTTTAAATTGTAAATTACTTCACAACGTGAGCACTGTTCTAATCTTAATCAATAACAGTTTCACCTTAAATTTAATGTTTAGCATTTTAAAATTAATGTAAAAAATTAAATTCGAAAAATTTTTTTATATGTACCAAACTTTAATTTTTTAAATATTTTATAATCCTTTTATTTACTTTAGGTATATTTGATTCATATATAATCAATCTTAAATATTTTCATAGTGATAGTTTCTTGATACCATGCTCGGTAAACATTAAAGGATCAAAAGTTAATTTGAAGGTCCCCATGAGTTCAAAACAGGGTGTACAGGTTATACACAGGGACTATTAAGTAAATGTCAATCAAGTACCAGGATCCAATGATGCACTTGTTTGACAGGGCTACCCAGACCATGTTTTTTGAAGGCGGTGTTTGAAATCTCTGCTGTTAAGCAATGGCCTTCCGATCAAGGAGCAAGCGCTTTTCAGAGAAATGTTCCCCAGCGTGTAGACTTAAGGTTCCAGGAGTTCTACAGGAATTCAATAATGACCGTTCGAACGTTAAGACGTTAAAGAGTCTATGAACCATTTGAGGAATATATCGATCATGTACTGTTCAAACAAAAGACGTAATATGCATTTCGTGAAAACTAATTTTATGAGTAGTATGAATGAAATTGTCTCTGTAAACAAAAATTATGCATGTATAAAAAAAAACTCACCGTGACTTTTTCCCACTACGTAATGAGAGGTAATATCAATTGAAATGGGCTGGCTTATTTTCGCAACTTTTAAAGCACTGGCAAGATTATTACCGATTTTGTCTGTGGGGAGAAAAGAAAATTATTTAATCTGATTATTGTTTTTCATTTTCATTTTATTGAATGTTTATTTTCTGTGATAACGTCTTTCTTTTTGCAGAAATTTATAAAAAAAAAAATAAAATTAACTTTAATAGAGAGACTTAATCAACTTGCATTCTAGATTAAAAATTAGTAAATTACTTACTTTCAAAACTTTGGTAAACAGCGATGGCATTAGAAGCCGTGACAGCAAACCAAACACAAACTACAGGAAGCAGCATCTTGCAAAAAACTTTGCTGGAAAGCTTCTGTACTTATCCAGGGAAATATGGATATATTTATATGTATAAAGAAATCTATAATTTAAAAAACATAAGAAAAGGCGATAATTTTTTAAGGCGTTACATTAGTTATTGACCATTATGCTATTATGTTTTAATTGATTTCTTAAATTTGTGTGGTTGGTCAATATTTTTAACAAGCATCTGTGCACTAATTAAGGGAATGTAATAAAACCTTTTAATATTGTACCAGAAAATGACTAATGAAACAGCTAGACTTGAACCCCTTTGTATCACGTATTATCTGCATTTCATGATGATTCTGGTCAGTATCATTAGTGTTCAAAATACAATTTACAAGACAATATCATTATTATAAATTGCAAGGTTCTAGAGACAAATCTCGACATTTTCAGAGCATTAAGCATTAAGTCTTGTCATACTGACAGGGGTATTGATCATCATGGCTAGAGAGTACACGTGAGTACTACCAAGCCTCTGTCAGTATACAGGGACCCTAAGGGCAATAAAGAGACTCATGTCTTTCCGGGAAAATATTCCATAATTTTTTTCACGTTGACAAATTTAGGAACATCTCATAATTTAGCTTCAAGAAAAATATGCCTCAATTTTTAAATTTAGAAATGAAATCTAAGAAATCTAAGATAATAGTATATACCAAACAATTCTCTTAGCGTAAGATATTAATCCTTGAATGTGTTGGGAGGGGGTACTAGAGATTTTAAGTAGGTAAAATAAGATTTATACATGAGGATTTTCCATTTTATTATATATGTGGAAATCTGAATTTTGAAACTGTATCTAAGATCGAAAGTCCATATAACAATACAAAACAGGAGCAGAGCAAACACGGACCTCCAATATATCGGTGATGGATCAGGTGCCATGGAGTGAGCATCCGCCGTGTGCTCATATTGTCATGATCGGGAAATTGTTGTTTTCCTTGACAGTTGCTTTTACAATAAAAATGGAACTTGTTAATTTACACACCTTGTATTTGGTAATTTGCAAAATTATTTTTTAAAAACATTCTGATTGTACACACATGTACTCTGAAGTTGATAATAAAGTACGTAGATGCCTGAGTTTCAGATTGACAACACTAGTATCCATATTGCTTTTGGAGACCAGATCTCCCAGCATTCTGTCTGATATTCCAATGGTTTCAAATAGCGACCCCTATTAGCAGACCTACTTTTGTGTTCATATGAGGTAGAATTTATGCATGAGAAGGAGAAATTCGTGCTATGGCTTTCAAATCTACATTTTTTTCTCTATTTATATGTCGGTGATTGGAAAAATTTATTTTCTGTTGAAATAAAAAAAAACACAACTAAAATTTCATCCCTATAAACATACTTTACACCTTGCTACAACAATTGATGCTTAACCGTCATATCTTATAAACAAAATAGATACATGTAAGAGTTCCGTTGGCCAAAGTTACTTAAGTCAGTGAGCATACAGATTTGATTTCCTATGGTTTAATATATAATTAACTGATTCCTGCCTTTTCCGGTCTCCCTCCCCTCTCTCTATTATATAAATGTCATTTTACATGTTTTCAAGCAATATGATAATAATAAAAAAAAGACTTATTTTAATTCATCTCGCGAGTTGTCATTCTGGCCAAAATTACGAAATGTTAGAAATTTGTAGGAATTGAAATGCTCCTTATTTTTAATTTTTTTAACTAATGAAATTCACTAAAAACATACTGTGTATACGCAGTTTATCAATTTTCGCGCGGCATTTGTTATTTGCTATAAGGCTCATATTCATCAATTGATTACTCATTACAGTGTAATTTGTCAATGTTATAACTGGCATCTGCACAATAGTTCTGGATGTGTAAACTAATATTTCGTTATTGCACCAGCAAATTGGTGATGTAACAGTTGGGAGATATATGATACCACGTTGTATCTGCATTTCATGATATGACTCAGCTTTGTATAATTATGGGGGTGTTTACACTCATGATTTCTAATTAAATAATTTTTTTCATCGTCTCGTGTATGGAGGCGGCGCAGTTCGCAAGAATTGTAATTTAAGTCTGTGTATAGTATTTGAAATATTTATACAAAGAATTTTACTACTCAGAATTAGGGAAAGAAAGATGAATATAATCCTAAAAATTGCATGACATTTCCACAAATTTCATCTGTATACTTTTATGGGAGTTCCATTAAAATTCATATGTGCCTGAATTAATGAAAATAGTGACTTGGTTGAGACGGATGGCGTACGGGACTCTGATCAAATGTTATGAACATACATTTACAATAATCATAAAGAGTAAATAAGTGATTTAGTATAACAAATATGTACTTTTTTCGCTTGACTATAATGAGATTAATTTCTGCTAGGTCTGCGACAAAAAATTTTTCACGGAAAGGGTTCAATCAGAATATGAAAAGAATTTACCAAAGATCCTTTATTCTTTATGGAATGTAGGTATTTATTGTATAGCTTTTAAGCAGTCTATGTTAAAAAAGAAGTATAAAAAATCTAGATAATTTCAGCATTCAATTATTTTGGTGTCTTATTGAACGCTGAGTTTGTATTACGTGTATGATGTTGCCCGAAATATTCCGACTACGAGCATTCAATAACGAACGCCCCGTTGTGAAAAAAATGTCTGGTCATCTCTGAGAGGCAAAATTACGATAAGATAGTGGCAATTAGGTAAGATGCAATAGGTTTTAAACAAATTAAAAGTGTAATTATTTAGAGATTATTTTGAACGTAAAACCTTTAAGAAAACCTCAATAGCAAACAAAAACGCTTGGTTGAGTAATTGAATAATGCGACATTTATTACTTGCAGGACAGACATTAATTTAAAGACAGGTATTGGTTCTTTTTATTTATTTGAGTTAGATAATTTAAATATTGAATAAATATTGGTTGAAGATTTAATGGAAGGGTTATTGGACCTTTATCAGTGAATATTGGTACTCTTTGGCTGTACAAATGCACGAGCCCACGAGTGCCACTATTCACCAATAAAAGTTCAATACTGCTACATGTACATTAATGCAAACTCTTCAGAGATATATCTCCAGCCTCACAGACTCATTCACCACGGACAAATTTAAAATTTCACAGGAGATCTAGATGTAAATTCTTGAACTAGATGTTTTTCATGTTCTTGATGATTCAAGCAAGGTTACCACGACGCGAACTTTTCCAGTCTTAATTTAATCTAAGACGTAAACCAGAAAAGGTTCTTGGGTTTTAATATCCATAATTCCAACAATTTGATATTGGTCAAGTAGTTCTCATTAGAAGGCATAAATCTTTTGTTACACAGGCCACAGGTCTGTCTTTTAGTTTAGCCACCATTGGCAATTGATGTACCCGGTAGCTTTCCAAACTATGAATATAATTTTTGTAATTAACTGATTCTGGTTCAAATTAACCAAAAGATAATTTCCTTTATCTCTTCCAATGCTAAAAGGCAAGCGCACCGCAGCCAGCTGGTTTTGCTAATATTGTACAAGTGAAATAAGACACTTTCATAGAGATTAAGGAGGCTGGTGGGTCAACAAATTAATCACAAATTAACCACCAGATTTGACTTATTGTTTTAGATACGGTAGCTTTAGCTGTCAACTATCATTGGGCAAAGAAAAAATTCATACATTTTAGTTTTTAAATTTGATCATTTTTGTATATCTTTATACGGGGCTCTCCTTTAAAGGAGATTGAAATAGTCTAAAAATGGCTTCTTTAATAATGTCATTTATGAAAAATAAAGGTATAAATGTGAACGATGAAATAGACAAGAAGGGGATCAGATTTCCAAACTGTGGTTATCAGTTAAGTAAAATATGATAAAGTCCGATCCTAAAAATCACAATAGAAGGAGGTACCTGTAAAACTAAAGAAGGAACATCTAAAGAAAATAGGCAAAAGTGCTTTGAGTATGTAAATTTTACTTTATACTAGATAATTACCCGCGCAAGCGCAGGAAATTGAATTTATACATAGAACTTTACCACTTACAACAGAAAATTAAATATATTGTAGTTGGAAGTCGTAGATTTTACTGACAGACTACAGACTTATAGAGGGAAGAAATACCTTGTTCAAAAGTCCGCATGAAAGAAATGTACGTCACCTTTCCATTTGTGAAAACTTGAAAAGATGCTTTAATTGACGTTTATTTCTTCAAAACTTCATACATTGTTATGGATATTGCACTTCAAATGTTTTTATTTCATTTTCATGAAGGATAAGAGGAACGAATATACATAATATACAAATAAATTGATTTTGGGGAGTTGGGGGAGGGGTAAAAATTTACAGGTACTTGGGTCTATAACTCTAAACTTGGGTTTATAATTATATACGTACCCTTATCAATACGTAAAAAGCCCCCCCCCCCACTTTTTCCCCACCAATACTCTTACTATTGGAAACGTTCAGTGAAAGGCTGGTTGCCCCCCCCCCCCACCCCCTTAATACTACAGGAAATTCATATAAGAGAAATGTAGTGTTGAATACCAAAAATTTGGTACTGAAAGAAGTTGGCATTGGAGAAAGACTTTTTTTAGAGAGAAAAAAAAATGAAATGTCTTTATTAAAGCACAAAACTTTAAAGCTGTAATTAATTGTATTAGAACAATACCTTATTCGTAAGTTTTCTCTCTTATTGAACGCAATTAAGTTGAATATAAATAGTACGTTTTTACCGATAAACTCATAACAAACACAAATATATACACTACATATCTATTTTAGTCTTTTGATATATGTATTTCTGTGTTTAAAATATTATCCTTTGTCATTCACTCGTCGTCAACGTTTGATACCTCGCTGTCGGATACTTTACTATCCTACGCTTCATCGCCGTGTACCATTTGTCTACTTATATAATCCTTGTATCAATAAATATTAATGTTTTTCCCGGCAACAATATGTTTCTGATAAATTCCAAGCATATATATTTTGCTCGTTTTTACAAAATTATTGTTTTTATTGTA